TCTTAACCTGAATGAACTCTTCAGTAGTAAAGAAAAAATGATTTGTGCACATAAAAGTATAATTACAGAAAATTTAAGAAACAACACAACCATAGAAGATATAAAATGGCAAGTTAAAATACAAAAACATGTTTAGCTTCACTCGTCATTAGCGAAGTACAAATTAAAATCAGAATAAGATACTATTACATACCTGTTAGAATGGCTAAAATAAAAATTACTGATAATACCAAATACTGACAAGGGTGTGAAAAGATTAGATCTCTCCTGCATTGCTGTTGGGAATGTAAAATGATACAGCCATGCTAGAATTCAGTGTGGCCATTTGTTAAAAAACCAAATGTGAAGCTACCATGTGACACAGCAGTTACAGTCCTGGCCAATTATCTTGGAGAAATGAAACTTAATAGTCACATAAAAACATACACAAATATTCATAGCTTCTTTGTAATAGCTAAAACCTGGAAATAACTAAAATATACTTCTACCAGTAAACAGTTATACAAACTGTAATATGTCCATATAGTGGAATACTATTCAACAGTAAAAAGGAAAAATCTGTTGATAATACACAATTTGGATAGAACTTGAGTATACCATGCCAAGTCAAAAAAGCCAGTCTCAATATACTACATACCATATGATTACATTTATGATATTCTTGAAATGACAAAAGATGTGGAGAACAGACCAAGTGGTTGCCAAAGGTTAGCAAAGGAGAGGGAGGATAAGACTATATATAAAAGAATGTCATAAGGGACTTCATTTGTGGTGATAGAACAGTTCTGTGTCTTGATTATAATGATGGTTCTATGACTATATACATGAGATGAAAGGTCATAAAAGTATACATAAAAACACACGAAAAAGTGAGTGTGTGCAAAAAATGGTGAAATCTGAATAAGATCTGTAGTCTAATTGTGCTTTGCCAACCAAATACCTGGTTTTGATAATGTGCTATGGTTACATAAGATGTCATCGTTGGGGAAACTGGGCAATGGGTGCACAGGACCTCTTTGTGTTATTTTTTGCATCTTCTTATGAGTCTTTAATTATCTCAAAATGAGAAATTAAAAAGAGAGACCATGATGGAGGGAGGGAGGAAAGGGAATAAAGATGGGAAGAGGGAGAAAGAAAGAAACAATGAAGGCTTCCGGACAAGAAAGTACAGTAAAAAAGACTGATTTACCTTCCTACATAAAATAACACAAAATTTTTTAAACAGACAAAATACATAAAATTATAGTTTCCAAGACACTAGACACCAGGCAATGAAAGAAAGTGACCACGGAGAGATGGAAAACAAATAAAATAAGACCCTGTGTACTGCCTTTCTCAGGCTGTAGTGCTCAGGAGAGGGAACCAATGTGGAGCCCAGCAGATTCCCTGAGTTGAAGAGACTGTTACGAGACCAAGACAGCTAGAGTTCATAGGACAGAGTACTAGAGGAAATAGAACCTGATATTCACACAGGCCCAGGAATAATGGCTGTGCCATTTGACAGACTGGAAAAAAATTGTAATTTATGGGGTATTGGGTAGTGCACTTAGTAGTTAGAAACAGCCCTAGACTGAGCACTTCACCAGAATTGCCTAACAAATCACAAAAGCGAAAGATGAAGATGCTTCCAGGTAACCTAACTGCGTCCCTGAACAAAGCTCAAGTTACACAGGAATGCAAAATTACCTAGCACTCAGCAAAATAAAATTCGCAATCCAATCAGAGATTATCAGACATGAAAAGGAGCAAGAAAATATAATCCATAAATGAAAAAGTTTCAATTGAAACCCACCTAGAACAGACATGGATATTAGAATTAGCAGAGAAGGAAAATAGAATAGTTATTATAACTGTATTCCACATATTGGAATAAAGTTAAGATATGGAAGATATAAAAATTCCAAAATTGAGTTTCTAGAAATTAAAGCTACAATATCTGAGATGGAAACTACAGTGGATGGGATTAGACATAAAAGATTTGAGGAAGAAAGAGTCTCTCCAAGAATATTTCTTGGGCAAAACTGATCGATTTTATACTTGCTCAAAATCTAGAGTACTGTTGACTTTGTTATTATTCAAGATAATTGAGAGAAAATGTAATGATGGGCACCATTAAAACTAGCTCAGAAATATTATTTGTCAGTAAAAATTTGTTGTAAAGATGTCTTGGGTTGCACTTTTCTCAAGGGAAAACTGTAAACAGTTAAGGAATGTTGAACATTAAAGTATTTGGTTATGGAATTATGTGTGGTAGAGGTTTGCTTGTGAAATATATGCTTTATAAATAATAAAATTTCAGAGTAGTTATTTTCACATAGTTTCACAAGGGTATGATTTATTTTCCTAGCCAGCTAGTAAGCTTCTTGAGAGTATTAGCATGTTTTTTTATATCTTTTGAATGTGAAGTTATAAAATATGTAGTATGGTGTTTCCTATAGTGAATGGTCCGTAGTGTTTATAATATAAAAGAGGGAATTCTCCAACTTGGATACACTGAAGTTTAATCTGCTGCTAGTAAGGCAACCAGAATTATCCCTCTGAATCAAATGTGAATATACAGTTTGTTACAGGGTTGGGAGTAGGAGTGGAAGTGGAGAGGGAAGACAGGAAGGGGAAAGGAGAAGCTCACCTTAGCCAAGAAGCTTTTTAAGCCTATTTTTAAACAGGAAGGTAAATGTTGTGAATTACTCCTTACAGCCCTATCTTTCTCCACAGCCAATGTTGTTTAGATCAGGTGCATTTTCATTTAAATTATGACTAATACTTTTTGACTAGGTATTTGGGAAAATAAATGAATAAACAGATGAACTTGGAGATTCATGTATTTGGTAGGTTTGCATAGGGCAGATTTATAGAGCAAATGGTACAGTCTAAGAACATGTACTGGAAAGAAACTTTTCCTTCACTTAATGGAAGCCAAATACATATGGATATAGAGAAGTCATTTCCCATTTCTTGGTGAAAGAAACATTGTCTGATTATCATTAGCAGAGGGAATTAAATAAGGAGCAAGGTTTCTGCAACCCCAAATTCCATTATGTGTTGCAACATTTTTGTAGGAAGGAATTTATAAGCTTTACAAATTAGAATAGAGTCTCTGTAGATTCAGGCCAATGTACAAAGAGTTATCTGTAAGTTACTTACTGGCAAGATAGAGAAAGCTATTTTCAAGAAACCTAAATGAAATTTTATAAACTGTCTGCTTTTTTGAATACTGTCTCTAAGCTAAAATCACTTGTGTGTTCATTTTGTTAATAGCAGTAGCATTATGTGTGGCGTCTACTGGTGCACAGGGAAATCAGTAGATTGGCTGTCCATAAGCAAGAAATGCCTGATTGGGGAGATGATGAATACTATATTATGTAAAAGAGCTTAGCTATTTCAAAGAAAACCTTGCTATTATTGATGTTTTACTATTGATACTAAATGGTGTAAAAAAACAATAAAGTTAGAGCAACCAATGTTCAGAATTTCCAGTTGTTTCCTCTATGTTTGAGTTTCTAGAAAAGGAAACTCTGTATTATAGAAAAACTGTTGGTTGCAGGTAACTGAAATCCTGACCTACCAAATGCAGCACAGGCAGAAAAATAACAGATTAAAATCGACAAAACTGAACCCCTTAATGATGGTCAGAGGAAAAAGAAATTTCTGACACAGGGAATTACCAATTTGAATGAGAGATTTTAACCAGTTCAATGAGAAGTGGGATTGCGATGATACTGAAAATATAGCAAGAGAAGTAGAAGGGAATACTCCAAAAGAAGTCATTGAATACTCATCTGTGTTCTAGAAAAGATGCAAAGAACTCTAAGACATAGACAAGATTATGGCTCAGATTAAAGGGGACAGGCAATTCAGAGAAGAATTTGTATCAGAGAAGCACTTGACACAAAGATTGGATGGTACAATGCACCTTTTCATCAGTGCCACATCATATGGTACTAACAAAGAAAAAACTGTACTAAAGAAAAGGATTGTTTCCTGATATATGTGCTTGGATTCAACAAAGAAAACGTATATGATTAACTGAGACAGTGTATTTACGGCTGTCTTCAGTTCAGATTTGATTGGTTTCTTAAGTGGAGATCTGCAATGGAGCTCCAGAGGAGGGGTAACACCTTAATTATCTTGATTGAAAGAAAAAGCATAGAAGAACACAGATGGGGAATGAACCAGGTGAGGCCTATTAGTGCCACTGCTATTACTTTGAGTTTCCAGGCTGCAGGGCACGGCCGGGTAACAGGCAGGGCACAACAGACTTCCTGAGTAGAGGAGAAGCTGAGCATCTTGGGAGACACGGGCTGCTAGAGCTCACCGCATAGAGTTCCAGAGAGGAGGGAGGGTACCTATGAGCATTCAGCAAAGTGCTGATGAGCACATGTAGGAGGAAACTTTCTGATACATACATACTACAATGTGAATGTCCCTCAGGATACTTAAAGCTGAGTGAAAGAACCTTGTTTTTTTTTTCAGAGTACATACTGTATGATTCCATTTATTAAAATTTTAATAGAAACGTAACCAATACATAGTGACACAAAGTAGATCACTGATGGCTGAGCAATGTGGCCAGGATGGGACAGGAGGGAAAGATTACAGAAGGGTGCGTGGGAACTTTTAGGAGTGATGGATATATCCATTATCTTGATAGGCTTTCACAGATTTTTATATATTTCAAAAATTTATTACATTGCATACTTTCAATACATATCATTTTGTCAGTTGTACTTAAGACTCTTTCAAAACCTGCATATAAAAAAATACACAAATACAAAACAAAGTAGCTTCCCTCTCAGGGTTGTTTTTGAGTTGAAACAAATGTGAAGAGGGAACTCGTCCAAGTGACTTCTCTATAACTCTTTCCCAACTCAGACTATCTTTACTAAGATTTTTGCTGTTCCAAAGGGTTTTCCAGTTTTAGAGATATGTTGTTAGGATCTACACAGTCAAGTACTGCTCTTGTCAATCAAGATGTAACCTTACGCAATTTTGTGTTTCAGGGCTGATGAATCAAGCAAGCAAACATGAAAAATGGATTAAGGCTGATGCCCCAAATGGCACTGTAAGTTTTAGAAGTCAAAGCTGGTTTCAGTCCCTCAAACTGCAGGACTAAGAATGGTTTTACTTGTATTTATAATTTTTAACAATGATTAGCAGATCTATGACTACAAAAATGCATATAAAAGTTCATATAAATGTTGAAAACAACAAACTAGAATGAATACTCATGAATTGTATTGAGGGAATGAATACTTGGTGAATTTATTTTTCAAAATTTGTGCTTAGCTGTTGCACTAGTTTTCCACTGTTCTGTAACAAATTACCACAAACATATCAACTTAACACCCACTTACCTGCTCACAGTTCTCTAGGTCAGGAGCCCAGTATGGCTAAGTTCTCTCCTCAGGGTATCCACAAAGTGGACTCAGGGTGTTGACTAGGCTGTGTTCTCACCTGGATGCTCTGAGGAGAAAATCTATTTCCAAGCTCATTCATACTGTGAGTGAAATCTAGTTCCTTGAATAACTGAGGACTTCATTTTCTTGCTGGCTGTCAGTTAATGATCACTCTAAGCTTTCAGAGGCCACCTGCATCCTTTCTTGGGTAGCCCTCTCCATCTTGAAGCCAGCAATGGTGCATTTTCAGTACTACGCATGCTTTGAATATCTGCCCCTCTTCTGCAACCAGTTGGAGAAAACTCTGCTTTTAAAGGGCACACTTGATTAGATCAGTTCTACCCAGAATAATTTGTTTTGCCATATTACGTAACATAATCATGTACGTGACATCGTATTTACAGTTCCCACTCACACCCAAGAGTAGATTATACAAAGGCATAGGTAATGGGGAGGCAGTTATCCTAGAATTCTTTGCACAATAGCTTTCATGTAACATGTTCTCTACCTTATAGTTACTATGACATCAGTGTAAATTGAAGCTGTGAATAAAAAACATCACAAATATGATACAATGGCGACTGATTCTTTTTTTTTGCGTAATTTAAGAATAAATTACATAACTCATTGAGAGGAAGAAACCATTCAGCTATTTTATACCCTGAAGATAGGTTTTTATTTTTATAATGGTGTACTGTATCAAGTTATTTTATGAATTCTCTTTCTTTCAAACTTTACTCTTCTAATCCTGGATCATTTAAATTATACAACACTGAATAGACCCATCTGTTAGATTATGTTTTTGTAATTAGGATAAATTAGTTCTTAAACCTGATTTCTAATAAACCTTTCCAAATATTGTGATTTAGTTTCTTTTTTGTTAATATTCCATTTATTTAGAATTCTGTCTTATTTAGGAAACAGAGTCTGCTTTATGGGATATCCCAAAGTCTTCATTTAGTTCACCCTTCATGAAATCAAAATTTGTCCAAGTTTGGGTGATGTGTGTGATGTGGTTGTGGTGTGTGTGTGTGTGTTCAGTTATTAAGCAGAGGAAACAGACAGTGAGGTGATTTTTATAATCTTTTTTCACTCCCATGCAGTGAAAATTTTTTTTGTAATATGCAAATATTTTTGTAACTAAAAATAAAGCTTATGAAATTAGTCAACTGCCAGAAAGGTCATGAGCATAACAGCAGTCAACTGTATTTAGTTATTAAAGGAATTTTACATATTTGGGTCACATAGTCAAGTCCAACCAGAAAGGAAAAACTGTCAGTTTTGCTCTTTTGAACACAAACTCATATGTATCAAATGCTTAATTGCTGAAGACCTAAGTAATATTTTGGATAGCATGCTTACTTTGCACTGAGAACTTGGAGATTTCACTACCTGTTCACACTACTTTTTCCCTTTCATACCCTACTTTTTTTTAACACCTACACATTTTCCTTCATTTCTGTAGCTATAAAATTTGTCTCCTCATAATTAGCAAATGTGTCTCTTTTTCTTGTTTGAAAGATTTTACTCAAAGAGTTTTAGAGGAAGCTTTAACAGTTACACACCCTGCTTGGTTTACAGAGAACATAACAGCGTATGTTTCTCCTTACCCTGGTCTTCTGTGTTACTGCTTTAGAAAGCAGCTGGCTCTTTTATAGTCTCTCCAGTTGTGTGCTTGAGGCTCTTAGAGGGCAGATACTTAGGAGTCAAAAGCCAACTTTTATGCAACTGCCAGGAATACACAAATTTAGTTAAAAATTAGCTTATTAGAACAGCTATCTTAAGTCTCTTGGCTCAGGTCTTAAAACTTCCTACTCAGCTAATTCCCCTGCTCTCCATTTCCAGGAACCATTCCACGGCTAAGTGATGCTATCTTATTTTAAAAGCTCTTTCAAAATCAAGCTAAGAAAGGGGAGAATTATTAAGTGCAGTTTGCTAATATAGATTACTGTATAATAATACCTTGTATAGCCCTTTTAAAACTTTTCCAAATAACTTTGATATCCTTTACCTTAAATTTTATCTTAAATTTTGTGGGGTACAGAAAGACAGTGATTAACCCATTAAAGAGGTAAGTAACAGAGAAAATAGGTTAAAACGCTGATCTAATATTACTGACATACTTTATTTGTGGCAGTCATAGTAGAGTTGTGCTTTCTCCTGGACTCTTACCCACATCAATGTTATATAATAGCAGTGTGGTAAACTGGCAAGTGATCATTTGAATTCTGTTAAAATCTAAAGGTACATCTTTTACCAGCATGGTAAAAATCCATAGGTAAGAACTCATTAAAAATTAATATGTAGGTATGCAATTAGTAACCCATACCTCCTAGTAAAAAATTGGGAGAGCATCTTTTTTGGCGTAACATAGTTTAAAAATTCCTCCCTAGTGAATATTTGATTAAAAAGTGACCTTTTTGAGACATTGCAGGGACATTCTTCCTGTTGACAAATAGCTCCTGTTTCTATTTAATTTGCGTCTGACAGTTAAGTCAAATGCTGAGATGAGTCCAGTGTTAACTGGCATTTAGTTCCTTCTTCTTGTTCAGTGTCTGGAAATAACAAGAAAAACTTGTTTCCTTTGAAAGTGTTCGTCTATGTCGTTTAAAACAAAGCCTCCCAGATTCTTAGAGTCTGCTCTGGCTCTGACTTTACTCTGACTTAAGTGGCCATCTTTGCTTTTTTTCCTTTTCCAAAGAGAAGGTCATACCTCTCAAGTTGTTTTATATAACTGTATAAACCCAAGATTTGCTAATCTCATCAAAAGCATTAGTTTGATTAAGGTAAATTTAGGTGGAAAATTAACACAGCAGCAGAACTTCATCTGGCTTTCTCTTTTAATCATGATTATTAGAACTAAGGATGTATTTAGAAACGTTTGTAGTTGGAATAAGAATCAGGAGATGATAACGCTACTTGTTTACACTGTTGAAGTCCAGCTAGTAAAAATACTTGGCATCAAATGAAGTTGCCAAGTTCTAGATTTTTTGTTCTTCCCGCTTGAGGCTGTAGGTCATACTACTTCCTCTTCACTGCTGTATGTTGACTCTTGCACTGTCATTTCTAAATCTTTTTTAAGCGGTGTTATGTCCTGTTGCTCTGGAAGAGGCCTGCCTTCAAAATCATAGCCAAACCAAAGTGGAGGGTCATTAGGGCTGTATTCCTGCTGCTGAACTATAGATGATATTCTCTTAGCTGCCTCTCTGCAATAACAATGATTAGCATTAACTAGTTACAGAAGTAATTACTAGTGCTGAACTTTCAAACTAGGTCAAATTTAGAATTAACTCACTGTCGCAAGTTGTCATTTCACAGCTCGCTTGCCTTGCTGAGGGGAAGAGTATGGGTAATTGTGTTAAACACTAGATTTCAAAGCTTAAGAGCTCAGTAGCTTTATGGGGCAGCCAGTTCACAGTGAATGGTAAAGAAGCTATGTGTGCATGGCCATGGAGTGGAACACTGAAGGCATTTCTGTAGGGCTCCTGAGTGAGCCCTCTGTCTGACATTTCCAGTTTCGTTGATGAGGGAGTCCCCTAACCAGCCAACCTATGAAGGCTGACCATGCACTGGAGCAGAAATTCTTACCACGGGGTCCACAGGTTCCTGTTGGATACATGGATAAACTTTAGGGAGGCCCATGAACTCCCAGAAAATTCATGCAGCTTTGTATCTAATACACTTTTTTATGAGGAGAGGTTCTTGACTTTAATCAGATCCTCAAAGGTGTCCGTAACCAAAATGATTAAAAACACTGTTACTGGCTTTCTTAGGAGTGATTAAGGAAAGAAGCAAACAAAGCATCTAAAAGGAATTCTGACCGCAAAATGGGTGTTTGTGTTTTGGGAGATGGGGGTGTTTCCCCCACACCACCTTGCAATTCTCCCACACCAGCTGTCTTACAATTCAACCCAATTCTGGCAGTATCTACCCAGAGATAGCATCAGATTCCACAGGTTAAGGGCTTAGTCCCACAAGACTGCCCTCCACTTCCCAGGCCAATCGTGTGTCTAGGTTGTCATCCAGGCTTCTGAACCACTGGCTGCAGATCCAAAATTCCAACACCCCACTCCTCAGGTTTGATGAATTTGTTAGAGCTGCTTAGAGAACTCAGAAACGTTTTACTTACTGGGTCGCTTGTTTATTATTAAAAATATGTAGCTTAGGAGTAGCTGGATGTAAGAGATTCTTAGGGTAAGGGATGGGGAAGGGATGCTGAGATTCCACGTCCTCTCTAGGCACAGCACTCTCCCAAATCACACATTCACCAACCCGGAAACTCTCAGAATGCTTTCCTTTGGGGTTTTTTAGAGATTTCATCACATTGGCTATTGGTGATTATTCAACCTCCGCCCTTTTTCCTTCCCCAGAAATAAGGGAGTAAGACTAAGTTCCACCCAGCTATTCATGGTCTGTTCCCCTGGCAAACCAGTGCCTTCCTTAGGTGCTTCCCAGAAGTCACCTCATTGACCTAGCTGTGGTGGAAAGGGTCTTATTATGAATAACAAGACACCCATTTCATCTTTATGGCTCTGAATAGATTTCAGGAACAGAGAACAAGAGACAAAATATGACCAAAGAAGCTCCCGTTGCCTATCACTCAGGAAATTTCAAGGGTTTAGGGAGCTATGAGGCAGGAACCATGAAGGAAGACCAAATATATATGAGAAGTACACTTTGGTTATCTGAATGACCAAGTACTTATTTTTATAAATCATAATATCACAGCATCAGAAAAAAGTACTGTATATCTAACTTGAAAACAATGCCATTTTGAAGTTTGAAGTTCTTCTAGGAAGTTGGTTTGAATCTTGAGACCACTACTAAAGAAAGTGAGTAATTAGCAAGTTCTGTGGAATCAGAAATGAGTAATGATGTTTGCCATTGAAAGAGATACTTTGCCCATTGCCATATAATTACATTGAGTTATTAATTGCAAAAGTCTGGAAACTGAGTTATTTACATGGAGGGCTGGTATTACCATAAGCTTTAAGTTAAATTTGTGCTCTGGCAATTTGAGTTCAGATAGGACAATGCAGTTGGAAAAGATTGAGAGACATCAGTTGTTTAAAATGTTGTTTCACTTAAATCAAATCTTAGAAGTATTAAAATAATTGTAACGAGACTCAACAGGGAGATAGCTAGAACTTTGCTAATTCTGTCTCTTACAGCATTGCTTTTATCTTATATGTTTGCACTCACACAAAACTTATACAAGTTTGAAGAACAATTTGCTCAAAAACAATTACTACACTAATTTATACTAGGTTCTCAGCCACCAGTCCCTGTGGACTGACAGGTGTCTTCTCTACAGAGAAATACTTATTCTCAAATCTGAAAATGATAAGTTTTTGGTCAAAGATGAAATTTTGCATGCTGTTATTTTTTAAATCTTTTTAAAATATGGTCCTAAACACTTACATAGTCTTTATATGTCCTCTAAGTAGGACATTATTATGGAAAAATAAGTTGTATCTTCAGCTTTCCCCATTTCTTCTCCTGAAATTTTTCTCCCTTTTCATCATGTCTTTGAAGGTGTTTTCTGTGAGATTCTTTTCCCTGTTTTCCCTTGAGG